CGACTACCTGGGACGGAAACACCCACCTCGTGGATGAACCCCACCTTCGGCTTTGCCCCTCTCCGTACCCAGGTCATGGCCGGCCCATTCGGCTCCGTGACGGGCTCATACATCTCCAGGTCGTTTCTCCGGACTTCAGAGCTCATGGGGTGCATCAGTGGGAATCCAAGCAAGACGACGTCAGCTTGTTTCACGGGCTCACCTGGGAAAGGCGCGGAACACCCACCTCGTGGATGAACCCCACCTTCGGCTTTGCCCCTCTCCGTACCCAGGTCATGGCCGGCCCATTCGGCTCCGTGACGGGCTCATACATCTCCAGGTCGTTTCTCCGGACTTCAGAGCTCATGGGGTGCATCAGTGGGAATCCAAGCAAGACGACGTCAGCTTGTTTCACGGGCTCACCTGGGAAAGGCGCGGGTCAGACCACGCGCGCCAGCTGGGAAGAGCTGGCGGGAGGATTGTCTGTTCACTCCCACGGGGAACAAACCTGACTCACACAGACTCATGAGCTCGGAACACCAAACGCCACCACATCGACGGGGGAAGGTAGTGGAACTGCAGGGAGGACAACTCGCCGCTGCCTTGCTAAAGGCAGAGCAGAACGGCAGCTTACGCGCCGTGCTCGGCGCTGCGTCCGCTGGAAGCTGTGTCGAGGCAGGACGCTGGCGCAGCCCTAATGTGACGGCACCCAGGCCGGCGTCTCCTAAACTTGAGGCGCAAAGCAATAGCTCCCTCCGTCCCACGCGCCCAGATGGCCCTGTCCCTAACTGCGAGACACGGGGCACCAAACTGCGCCCGGCCCCTTCGCCCCCGGAGGGCCAGGGGCTGCTGGAAGGGCAATGCATGGCGCTCGACCTTGGAAAGATGGACCTAACTGTCAGCAGTGGGTCCATAGCAGCCATGTCATCTGCAGCCCAGTGCTAAAAGTCTCTTCCTACTCCCTGTGTTCCCAAATGTCCTAATTTTACGAGCCCACGAATGAGAAACGATCCACCAAGAGGCAGAAAACACATCTTCGCGCCAGGCTCTGCACACCAGCAACCCAAATGCTGCACTTGGAGAGCAACGCTGGAGATCTTTACTTCGGCCAACCATTTGGCCGCTGTTCCCGGGGTGGAACCAGGCAGAGTCCCCACTTCCTGCAGGCTGACAAAGAGCGGTGGCCAACTCCAAGGTCTACTGCTGCCTCTCCGCTCACCTGGGCTGTAACCGTCGTACTCGGGATGGTATTTCTTCTCCGCATCAAAGGGCACTTTGAGTTTCTTGGCACAGTCCACCCACTCCTCTGGCACAGGGATCAGGAAGTCCCGAGCAACATCAGCTGCAAACTTTAAGCTGAAAAGAAGTGAGGAACAATGCTTTGTGTCCAGCACGGGTGCCTGTGACCCCCCCGGAGAGGGGAAGAGAAGAAAGTGAACAGAAAGAAGTAACTGAGCTGTAACTGGAAAGAAACAGCTACTCTGACAGAACACGGGTCAAAGTTTAAGCTTAAGGTAACAGCTTTCATCGCTGGCATTGAGAGTCCATTCCTCTGGCTTCAGATGTCTCCAGCTGGCTAATTGTACAGACATCTCACAGAAGGCAGGGAGGGAAACCCTCCTGTGAAGGGAAACCCCGCTCGGTCTCCTGGTGAAACACGGCAGAGGAACCGCCATGGGCCCAGCTGCTTCTCTCTGCCGCCTGCAAGGGCAGGCAAAGGAGACCAGCTCGGGTAGAGGTATGTGGAGAGCGGAAAGGTGGGAGCCCTGCTGCGTCCTGCCCCGCCAGACCGCCAGGCAGGAAAGAAGGGAGATGGGCCGGTGCTTCGACACGGCACGCACGTTACCTGCGCCGGGCCACGGCGTTGGTGTAAGCGGAGTTATCAACCTGGTGGTGATACTCATCGGGGGGCATGACACCTGGAGGAAGAGGAAGGGGAGACTTCACACCGCAGCACGCTCGAGTTTGGCGCGGCTTGGTGACCCTCCTCAGGGAAGGGGCACAAGACAGGGACCCCCTCCCGTTGCAGCGATGCCTGCCCACGCGGCGAGGCGCTGCCCCTCTGCTCCTGGCAGGATGCCGCAGCCATCTCGCTGCCACGTTCGGTACAGGAGAACGCCAGTGGTGCTCGTTCTGAAGGAGAAACAACCTGGCTTACAGCTTTGGCTGGCGGGCAGCAGACACCCCAACCTGAGGGCATCTCCCCCACTTCACAGGCGAGCTGACCTTCGAGTCGTTAACCCTCTCAAGTCATTCCACCAAGCCATTAAATCTTTCCCTCGCTACAAGCTCAGCTGCTTCCTTTGCTCCGTTCGTGCAGATTGTCCCCAGGAGGGGGGACGGCTGCTTCCCAAGCGAAACGTGAAAACAGACATTGAAATACGTGACCCCTGCGGGGGCACTGGGGCTGTCTCCGAGGATCTTCGCACCAAGAGCCAGCCTGCAGCAACCCCAGGGGCCCTTCTAGCTCCGATCACCCCAGATTCATCGAGGCTCCTTCGCTCTAACCCAGCCTTCCCCTCCGGACCCTCCTCCCACAGCACCTCCCCTTCACCTCTCGTTTCCTTCCTCAGCATCCCCTTTCAGAAGCAACCCGTCCGCGGTGACCTGCGCTCGTTAACATAACGCGCTGCGGCAGGATTGCCTGCGGAGAGACCCTGCACCCTGCCAGGCGGACCCGCGGTTGTACTTGTCCAGCACCAGCAGCTTTGAAGGGGTTAAACTCCTGCAGGCTCCTGGGGGATTTAAACTCGGGTCTCTCAGTAAAGACTTGGAAAGAAAAGCCCTTCCTCTCTGAAGCCCACGCGCTCTGTTTTCTCTAAGTGCCGCCAGTCACGGCAGCAGAGCGGAAGGCGCCGTGCTTGTGGCGTCGGCTGGTGCCACCCTGGAAGGAGGCACCAAGGGAGTGCCAAGGGGCTGAGAGGAAAAGCAGCTGATGCTGTGGCACTGGCAGGGAGCTGAGCATCTTGTCGCGTGTTCGCACGGACACAAACGTTATCTGCGAGTTATGCCAGAGGACAGGAGTCGAGCGCCCGTGCGCTCCCACCCAGGTCGCTGGAGGGGCTCCGAGCCCTACAGGCAGGTCTGGCAGTTGCCAAGGTACCTTTGATGTGGTAGCACTGCTCCTCCTCACTCCACACCATCCTGCTGCACCAGTACTCGGCCACGGCACCCACCAGCTTCCAGCCTCCATCCTCCCTGAACAGCTTCTGGTCCTGGAGGGAGCCAAAGCCAGAGAAGAACAGGGACATGAGGGAGACTTAACCAGACACAAACTCAGCCGGAGGACAGGAGCTCCCAGGAGATGGACATAGCAGGAGAAAAGGTCGGGCGACTGGCCTGGACTGAGCCAACAGGATGCTGAGGCACCCACGAGGAGCAAGGACAGAGGAGGCAAGGCTGAAGAAGGGACCCTGGGGTGCCACCGGCAATTCTGACAGGAGCAGACAACAGCGGAGTTTCTCTGGGAAGGGACAGTGACAGTCTCCAGATGCCCTGCAAGCCTTGCCACCGGGCCACCCAGGTGGCACACGCTTGCCTTTACCTGCGTGGTGCAGTAATACTGCTCAAAGGCCATCAAAACGTCCCCAGTGACGTGGATTTCTTGGGCTCCGTAGACCTCCTCAGGGCAGACTTCCCGGCCAGTGGCTGCACTCTCCCACGGGAACTTGGCACCCTGCCGGGAGAAGCCATCCATGAGGCAGCCGAGCACGACGTCTTGAGACGCCCTCCCCAGTCCGCCAGCTGCGGGCAGCGCCGTGCTCACGGCCCTTGGCCGAAACTAGAGCCAGAGAGGAAGAGCAACGCCCGACGGCCCTCCCGGGGCGAGCACGACGTCTTGAGACGCCCTCCCCAGTCCGCCAGCTGCGGGCAGCGCCGTGCTCACGGCCCTTGGCCGAAACTAGAGCCAGAGAGGAAGAGCAACGCCCGACGGCCCTCCCGGGGGCCGGTGGCCGG